CTCAGTTTTCCCATCTGTAGACTGGGGATAAAATAACAGATGCCTTCACACTTGATGTAATTGCTTAAAGAAGAGAATTCTCAAAAGTCATATATTATAGATGTTGTGAGGGTGGGTCTGCTGGATAGAGTCCATTGTCATAAAGCACACCCAAAAGGCATCAACAACTATTTCCAGAATCTTCTTAGATTTTCGACCCTTTCTTTTTCTAACTTTCATAGTCGTCTCAGCTATACCTAATAGGATAGCATTTTTATTTTTAAATCTGTGACTGACCTCTGCGCAAGTTTGTCCAAAGCACACAGCTCAGTTTTCACAGCTACAACAACCCTCTTTCGTGCTGTGCTTGTAGCTAATAGATGTGTGTAGTGTCTCATTAAGTGCATATCAAGCAGGAGGAATACAACAGGTTTGGGAACAAACCTTTGGTGCAACCCGAGGCACAAAGGGCCCCAGCCAACTAGAGCCGAGTGCAGTGAGTGTTGGGCACCAGGTAGAGACGTAAGGTTTTGGTGAAACCAGGGAAGGGGTGTGTTAGCTAGATATTGGGCCACTGTGAGGGTAAAGGGAGCTGCTAGAAGTATCCCAGCTGAGTAGCAAATGCCCCCCAAAGTTGGGGGCTTAAACCAGCCATTTCACTTTGCTCACGATTGAGGGGGGTCAGGAACTTGGGGAAGGTTGAGGCGGTTGTTCACCTGTGGTCCATGTGGCATCAGCTGGGGTGGCTGGGATTGGAGATGCATGTCTGAGATGGCTTCTTGCACCATGTGTATGGTGACTCTGTGATCCTCCACCTCTTCCTTCCTTCTTCTCCTCCTCTCCCTCCCCCTCCTCCTTTTCCTCCTTTTCCTCTCCCTCCCTATCTCTCTATCTCTTTCTCTCCCTCATCCTCCCCCTATCTGGTGTCTTCTACTCCAGGGCTAGCTCACAGCATGGCTGCCTCAGGATGGTGAGACTTCAGCCCAGGTGGAAGCCTCTGCTCATGACGTAGCCTAAGAAGTCCCAGGTGGTTACATCCGCCTTATTCTATTGGCCAATAAAATCTCTCAGGTCAGCCCAGACTCTAACGGAGGCACCGTCTACATTACGATGGCCAAATGGCATGTGAACACAGGGAGGGAAGAAAGCAATGACAGCCACCCTGGAGACAAGCTATCTTTGTTTCCTGGGGCTGCTGTGACAAATGGCCACAGACTGGGGGGCTGAAAACAACAGACATTTATTCCCTCACAACCCAGGAAGCTGGAAGTGTGAAACCAAGTGAGTGGCAGAGCAGGGTCAGTTCCTTCAGGAGGCTTGGAGGGAGAATCTGTTCTAGGCCTCTCTCCTAGTTTCTGATCATTGCCTGCAGTCTTAGCATTTCTTTCCTTTTTAATATATTTTATTGATTTTTTACAGAGAGGAAGGGAGAGGGATAGAGTGTTAGAAACATCGATGAGAGAGAAACATCAGGACCCTTCGGTCCGCAGGCCGATGCTCTATCCACTGAGCCAAACCATCTAGGGCTCTCTCCTCTTTTTATAAGAACACAAGTCATTGAATCTGGGGTCCAACCTAGTTTGGTATGACCTCATTTCAACTTCACTCTTTACATCTGCAAAGACCCTATTTCCACATCCGATCACATTCTGAAGTTCGCAATGGACATGGCTTTGAGGGGACACTACTCACCCTGATACACAACCAGCCATGGTACATGAAGCCCTTAGTTTGCATGTACTAAGCTTTGGTGACATCACCGTGGGTGGGAGCCCCTGGCCTTGTCAGAGCCCATGTGGCCAATCTCAGCCGGTCATACCCGCGAGACTCAGAGTCTGGGAACAGATGTCAGCTTATTCCAGGGTGGTGGCCTGGGCACCCCTCGTCACCCTTCCCAGCTGGGCAGCACTTGGAGAGTTTGAGAAGCAGATAGTTTTGAGGATTGTTTGCTTTCCTCAAGGTCAAAGGGAAACTCCATCCTTTTCTCCCAAAGAGGCTGCAGCACCCATATACTAAGCTTACAGCTCTCGGCCCTTCTTTCCTGCTACTAAATAATACTCATGACAATAATGAACAATAACAATGAACACATCTAACACTGGTGGAAGCACTCTATGTATTATTGACTTGTTCAATCCTCATTAAAAAGCCCTGTATAACAATGAACACATCTAACACTGGTGGAAGCACTCTTATGTATTTTTGACTTGTTTAATCCTCATTTAAAAGCCCTGTGCAGCCGTAGCTGGTTTGGCCCCTTTGGCCCAGTGGATAGAGCGTCAGCCTGCAGACTGAACAGTCCCAGGTTCCATTCCGGTCAAGGGCACATGCCCGGGTTGCCGGCTCGATCCCCAAAAGGGGGCGCACCCCCTCCTCCTTTTCCTCCTTTTCCTCTCCCTCCCTATCTCTCTATCTCTTTCTCTCCCTCATCCTCCCCCTATCTGGTGTCTTCTACTCCAGGGCTAGCTCACAGCATGGCTGCCTCAGGATGGTGAGACTTCAGCCCAGGTGGAAGCCTCTGCTCATGACGTAGCCTAAGAAGTCCCAGGTGGCTACATCTGCCTTATTCTATTGGCCAATAAAATCACTCAGGTCAGCCCAGACTCTAACGGAGGCACCATCTACATTATGATGGCCAAATGGCATGTGACTACAGGGAGGGAAGAAAGCAATGACAGCCATCCTGGAGACAAGCTATCTTTGTTTCTTGGGGCTGCTGTGACAAATGGCCACAGACTGGGGGGCTGAAAACAACAGACATTTATTCCCTCACAACCCAGGAAGCTGGAAGTGTGAAACCAAGTGAGTGGCAGAGCAGGGTCAGTTCCTTCAGGAGGCTTGGAGGGAGAATCTGTTCTAGGCCTCTCTCCTAGTTTCTGATCATTGCCTGCAGTCTTAGCATTTCTTTCCTTTTTAATATATTTTATTGATTTTTTACAGAGAGGAAGGGAGAGGGATAGAGTGTTAGAAACATCGATGAGAGAGAAACATCGATCAGCTGCCTCCTGCACACCCCCTACTGGGGATGTGCCCGCAACCAAGGTACATGCCCTTGACCGGAATCGAACCTGGGACCCTTCAGTCTGCAGGCCGATGCTCTATCCACTGAGCCAAACCAGTTAGGGCAGGGCAGCATTTCTTGACTTACAATGCATCATTCCAATCTCTTCCTCCATCGTCACATGACCTTTTCTATCTCTGGTTGTCTCTCCTTTTTTTTTTTTTTTTAAAGCCTCACCAGAGGACATTTTCCCACTGATTTTTGTAGAGAGTGGAAGAGAGAGGGAAAGACAGAGAGAAACATCCATGTGAAACACATAGATTGGTTGCCGCCTGCACAAGCCCTGACCAGGGCCTGGGCCAGGGAGCAGCCTGCAACCGAGGTACATGCCCTTGACCAGAATCAAACCTAGGACCCTTCGGTCCGCAGGCCGATGCTCTATCCACTGAGCCAAACCATCTAGGGCTCTCTCCTCTTTTTATAAGAACACAAGTCATTGAATCTGGGGTCCAACCTAGTTTGGTATGACCTCATTTCAACTTCACTCTTTACATCTGCAAAGACCCTATGTCCACATCCGATCACATTCTGAAGTTCTCAATGGACATGGCTTTGAGGGGACACTATTCACCCTGATACACAATCAGCCATGGCAGATGAAGCCCTTAGTTTGCATGTACTAAGCTTTGGTGACATCACCGTGGGTGGGAGCCCCTGGCCTTGTCAGAGCCCATGTGGCCAATCTCAGCCGGTCATACCCGCGAGACTCAGAGTCTGGGAACAGATGTCAGCTTATTCCAGGGTGGTGGCCTGGGCACCCCTCGTCACCCTTCCCAGCTGGGCAGCACTTGGAGAGTTTGAGAAGCAGATAGTTTTGAGGATTGTTTGCTTTCCTCAAGGTCAAAGGGAAACTCCATCCTTTTCTCCCAAAGAGGCTGCAGCACCCATATACTAAGCTTACAGCTCTTGGCCCTTCTTTCCTGCTACTAAATAATACTCATGACAATAATGAACAATAACAATGAACACATCTAACACTGGTGGAAGCACTCTATGTATTATTGACTTGTTCAATCCTCATTAAAAAGCCCTGTGCAGCCCTAGCTGGTTTGGCCCAGTGGATAGAGCGTCAGCCTGCAGACTGAACAGTCCCAGGTTCCATTCCGGTCAAGGGCACATGCCCGGGTTGCCGGCTCGATCCCCAAAAGGGGGCGCACAGGAGGCAGCCGACCAATGATTCTCTGTCATCATCGATGTTTCTATCTCTCCCTCTCCCTTCCTCTCTGAAATCAATAAAAATATATTTTTTACAAAGTCCTGTGCAGTAGGACTCCTTCACGGGGAAACTGAGGTACAGTCACTTGCCAGCAGTCATACAGCCAGGGAGTGACAGAGGCAGGCTTCCAATCCAGGCCGTCTGGATTCAGAGATGGCCGGTTTTACCCACTATGCAACCCGCCTTTCTGAAAGAATGACAGCACACACTCCTGAAGCTTTCTGATGACTGAGCACGGAGCCCTGGGCACGATTGCTTTGAATCCTCACAACTCTGGGAGGCCTGGGGCTAGTCCTCACCCCAATTTTACAAACCAGGAAACGGAGGCTCACAGGGGTCACATTTATTAACATGCACGCAAACCAGTCGGTAGCAGAGCCAGGCTTTGGGCCCTGAACTCACGTTGTGCTTCCAATGCAGCAGCCCATGTGCCTCACCAGGGTGGCCATCCCTCCCCTTCCCCTGGCCTCGGTTTCCCCGTGTGCACCAGCCTCTGTCTCTGCAGCTCCGGTTCCCATCCCTCCAGCTCCAAGCCCAGCCAAGAGCATCTCTTCAGCACAAGTTCTGCTCAGAGTCCCAGAGCTGAGCCTCATTGGTCCACCCCAGGTCATGTGACCCCGCCAGCCCGATGTTGCCAATGGCTGGGCTGGAGTCACGTGACCTGCTCTCTATCCACTGAGCCAAACCAGTTAGGGCAGGGCAGCATTTCTTGACTTACAATGCATCATTCCAATCTCTTCCTCCATCGTCACATGACCTTTTCTATCTCTGGTTGTCTCTCCTTTTTTTTTTTTTTTTAAAGCCTCACCAGAGGACATTTTCCCACTGATTTTTGTAGAGAGTGGAAGAGAGAGGGAAAGACAGAGAGAAACATCCATGTGAAACACATAGATTGGTTGCCGCCTGCACAAGCCCTGACCAGGGCCTGGGCCAGGGAGCAGCCTGCAACCGAGGT